TCTCATAAAAAGAAGGATGAGGTGAAAATCCTTTAGGAGAAGACAAGATGTGCAAAAAAATTGATTGAGGGGGGAGAGTAGAATTGGCAAAAAATGGAAGAGATCGAACCTTAGAAGGGGAAAGATCGAAAATGAAGGAAAATCGATCATAGAAGATAAATTGACCTAAGAGATGGGAAAAGCATGTAGAGTTGAAGTTCGAAATTGATCTGAGTATATAGTTCTTCCATGCCCAAAAGTCACTTGCTTCTTGCCTAAGCATTCTCTTCATTACATCATTGTCCTTCATCGGACATCGAGTTGAACCAATAAGCCATTTTTGCATAGTTATAGTCTCCAATAATAAAGGGGATCAGGTTGTCATTCTGTTACCCTCGTTGACCTCTCTTTAGCTCTACCCTATAACCATAAGCCTATCCAAAACTCATACTAAAAGACATTGTTAGAAATACATATTGAAGTAGGTGTAAAAAAAACTTTGAAGGCTAGAAAGCTATTGAGATAAAAAATTTTAGGTTGGATGGAGAGCAAAGAAAGTAAAAGATGAAAAATTGAAGCCTTACCAGCCATTTATGTAAATGCGCCATAGACCAAATTTATGAAACATTCCGCACCACTTGTCAGAGCACAAGCAAAAAGACTTATTTTCATCTTTTTGCTTTAAATTTTTTTGTTTAAACTACTTCTCTCTTCATTTAATGCTGTTAGATCGGCATAACTAGATGAACCCCAAGTTAGACCATTTAAATCGAACAACCATCGGGGGTAAATTGAGAGCCCAGTTCACCTTTAGGGTCCAAAATAGATAAAATCCAAATTTTTTTAAAAAAAATACAAGTCTCACCATGGTAAGACGAACTCCTGCACTAATCTTGAATCACCCCATACAATTATCACTTTAGAAACCTTTAAACCAATTATGCACACAATCAAGAACACATGTGTAAGATCGGATAATCACTAGGTAAGACTGTGGCTTAAAGCTAGTTATCGTCTAGAATTGACCTCCTCTTGCAACATTGACCTTCAATGAACCAAGCTGCCAATATATTTCTTTAGCTAATTTGTCCCACACTGGGGATGTCGGTAATAAATTTAACAATCTAATACTCAAACTGCTTAATGAAAGGACAGATTATTAAGGGCATTTGATGGTTATAGTGATCTTTTTTCTTCTTAAAACTTTCACCAAATTACTAGGGGCATTTTTATCATTTATGTTGACTTGACATATAAGGTTAAACTAACATTGTCAGTGCCACCTTAGCTCGACCCTATCTTAATTGTCCCCTTTTAATCCCTCTCAGCTTACCTATAAATATGAAAACTTAGGCACCATAAAGGTAGTTTATCCCACTTATTTTTCTCTCATTTTTCTACTTTTTTGCCTACTTGATCTTTACTGACTTGCGTGTTAGAGTGTAAACACAAAGAACACCCTTTACCTTTGCTTTTAACTGTCTTTCTTTTTTGTATTCACAAAAACACCTTTAAATAGGAGCTCAGCACCAATAGTAGGCATTTGTTTTTCCTTTGTATCATCTGCCTATAGACCATAGATAGTTTTGGTCCAACAATCCATTTTTAGTTTCAAAATTGAACCTTAACCTATGACTTCCTCAGTTTCTATTGTCTTTATAACAATGTCGTTTGTTTAAGTGCAAACTGCTAAGTTGAAAATTGTTGAAAGTTCTAGCTATAATGAAACAGTAGAGAATAATAGAGGCTTGAGGTAAGAACACTACTGAGTACTTACAAAATGAAGTTTTTACATTGTTTTAATTCATTGATAAGCCAAAATATTATACAAATACAATTATCCAAAGAAAATTGAAAATAAAAATGCTAGCATACATGCCTCAATGTTTTTTATGTAGATGATGATTCTATTTAGGCTTAAAGAGCAACATATCTTAATTGCTCCTAGGAACACTGTATTAAATAGGAGAGTACGTGTGGGGGTGGGGCTTGCCTTGCATGGCATAGGATGACACAAAGATATGAAATGAGATGAGAGGGTGTGGAGATCTGCACTATACCTATGAGATATTATTCGTTTTGACCAAAAAGTGTTACAATTTTATTCCACAAAAGACGTTTAATAGGTTTAAGTTTAGATCTCAATATATATATATTATATTATGTTCACACATTCTTCCGGTGTGGGAATTAAGACGTCACAATCTCTCTACTTTTAAAGTTTAATGTACCTATCAAGTCGAGTCCAACTATAATACCAAAGTCACACCAAACGTTAAGATTCTAGAGGTAATTCTCTACCGTGTAGTATCTAATGATTCTCACGATGTAACACTTAATTCTCACTAACTGATGACTGCTTTAATACCATTGTGGAGATTCACACCAAATTTGCAAAATATTATATTTTTTTACTCAAAAATCTTACAATTTTATTTCACAAAAAATATCTCATAAATTTAAATTTAAATTTTAATATATATCATATCATTTTCGTATATTTTTTCAATAGATCAAGACGTAGATAGCGCTTCCCACTTCCTTTATAGAGTTCAAAAAAGAAAAATCTGAAATCTGAGTACATTTGATTTTGATAAACAGATGAGATGACATCACACAGGGTGACCCGATTCACATGGCTGCATCTGATTTTCAGCATAACACTCCACTTGTTTCTCCGCACTGTCTTTGATTGCTTTGCTTGCATCCAGCAGCGATTAACTTCCTCACCTGCCCTGGAGGGACTGCACCAATAATTTCTTCTTGGGTCTATCACTTTTTTATTTTTTTTATTTTTCAACATATTCTAATGCTAATTCTAATCCATCGGTTACGTGGTGCTGGCCCCTAGTTGGATTTCTATTTTTAGTGCAAGCTCTTATACAAGCTTTTTCTATTTCTATTCAGACAAATGACTGCCATTGCTAGACTTGGGTTACACGAAAACGAAAACAATTTATTTAATTCATACGAAAATGAAATCAGCATTTTGGAAATTAATAGAAAAATATGGCCTAATTAAATATCTTAATAAAATCGAAACAAATTCAAGCAAGGTATCATAGAATTGGGCTTGATCATAATTTTTTTTTCCTTTTATCAAGTATTTTCATGGTTAATAATGCTCTAAATTTTAAGCAAATTTTCTCCTTAAATAATTTAGGATGATTGTGTAGAGAGTCACATCAAATTTATGATATATTATTCGTTTTAATATAAAATTTTATAATTTTATCTCATAAAAAATATTTTGTAAATTTAAATTTAAATTTTATTTATATATTATAATAGATTTTTAAAATCTTTCAATATAATATTAAAGGGTCACAAACTTTCTCGGTAAAATTTGATGTTTATGTTAAACGTAACATAAAATACAGATAGAAGCATTGAACCACATATATAAAATTAAAATCACATTAGACGTTAAGATTTTAGAGATGATTAATATTATATAGCACTTAATTCTTACAAAATTTTAGAATTACTCTCATAATGTAATATTTAATACTCGTTTGACAAGTAATTATTTTGATATTATTTATTAAAATTTACATTCAATTTATAAAATATTATTTATTTTAATTCATAAATGTTATAATTTTATTTCGTAATAAACATTTCAAAAATTTAAATTTAAATCTTTATTTATACGTTATAATAGATTCTCACACGTTTCGATATTAAATTAAGGTGTCCCAGAGAAATTCGGTTGCCTCCACACGCAAGGATAGAGAGGGACTGCGTGCCTTAAAGGTAGCTTGATTTACTCATAGCAAATCGGAACAGGACAATTAGTATTATTGCTCTCTTTTGTTTTCATTTTTGGTCAGAATTAAGATATTTTTTTTATTTTTAATTTATATTTTAATACCTTCTTGAAAAGAATATTATCTTAAATCGCTAATGCTAACTTATGTACTACGTCTTATCACTGGAGTGATCTTCCAGGAAACAAGAAAACTAAAAGTTTTTCTCCAACTTAGCACTCCATAGAAATTAAAAATTCTAATGACTCAGATTCCCGTTATCAACATACATTGTTCAACCTCTTAAGTAATTACATTTCAGATTATTTTCTCTCATTCGGTTCTGAAATAAAAGCTTTGCCCAGACTCCAGAATCTTGATTATTTAATGTTGGGAAGCTGGTTGATTCATAACAGATCCGTGTCAGTGTGCTTCCAAATTATAAGGATTCTTGTAATCCATGGAGGCGTCGTGGGAGAATTCTCACCACATCATAATTATATTTTATGATTAGATTTTCATAATAAAACATCACAACACGGTCAAAGAAACTCTCATTAAGCTGTTAAATTATGCCTGAAAGTCATGAGATATGTCAGTATGTAAATGGTCGATGGTCAAACTTCAATCAGTAGCTGGTGCTAAAATATCTGAATCCCCACCTCAGGCGAATGTTATCAGAAGAATCTACATTTCCATCCACAGAAACCTTCTCTAGTTAAGTTTGATAGAAAAAAAACAAGAGAGAATTCACTTTTAGGGAGAAAAAAAAAAGAAAAAAGAGCATTGCAATATGTGATATCATCACATTCTCACCCAAGACAGCTATTACAACGATGCTTTACTTGCCATGCATAAAAAAAGGAAATTCTTTTACAGGTAATTAAATGAATAAGATCAAATTTTCCTTTTTCCTGGAATTGACTAACTTCCTAAGAAGAGGGTAAGAAATCAGAAAATCCTGCGGGGTTGTCTTGTTTGTTGTTCACCAACGTTTGGATACGGTTATGTATTAATAATTGTTGTCAGTACCCAATTTCTATGGTAGGTTTTTGGATTTTGGTGTTATGATAGGTTTTTTTTATTTTTATTTTATTTTTTGCCTTCCAATTTACTAAAAGAGGAGACAAAGCGATAAAGAGTTGACTAAATATTGGGCGAGGCAGTGGAACAAGGACATTGCCTTGGGTTATAAGTTGCAGGAGTAATATATATGAGGACAATCAAGGCCATCGAATAAGGATGCCGTTTATGGGAATGAATACTATTTAAACTACTTTATTTAATCAATTATTTCATCATTAATTGGTTACACTGCTTTAATATATTTGATACTTAATTGTTGCTAAAAATACTAAAACTCGGACAAATTAAGGCATGATGCCATTGCCACTGCCTAGCAGATGTAAGATCTACACTCATCAGTTTAAAATCAACTAAAAGGAATTAGATTATCCATTCTTCAGCCGATTCAAGGAAAGCAATCAAAGATCCAAAATCTGAATCCAATTTAGCTTGAATATTATAGTCACATCCACTCCAGTTCTGCTCCATTTCCTCCGCTAACATAAATGCATGTGATTGAGCGGTTTTTCTCGTATGATTGTCAGCATCAACTCCTCGCATCACGTTACTCATTTGGGCAGTACCAAGATCATGACTAAGCTTTGTAAAATCAGAAGCAAAGATTTCTGAAACACTTATTTCCTCAGCATTGAAGTCCAGCATAAAATTCAGACAATTTTCTTCATTGCAGGTAGTTAATGTATGTAATGACCCATCGCTGGATTCCGGTTCTGCTGCAATATTTTGCACTAAATTTGCATCCATGGATGGTGAAATAACCACATTTCTGCCAAGATTTTCAATTCTGTGTTGCTGATCATTAAGGGTGAGTAAGACCTCATTGCAACGAGATACCTTGGTGCGAATAACACGTGAGCTGATTGGGTCTTCCTCATCCACTCTACCGGTGATTGGTATCTTTTCAACTGTAGAATGGTTTGATTTTGGTCTTCGCTCCTTCCCTTGTCCCCTCTTTGATAAATGGGTGTTCCAATAGTTCTTGATTTCATTGTCTGTTCGCCCTGGAAGTCTCCCTGCTATTAGAGACCATCTACAAGAGCAAATTACATATAATTAAGTCAACGAATCATCCATTTCAGCTGCCATACAAATTTGTGAACCAGTATCTATAGTTGTAGGGGAGTAATTCATGAAAGTAGAATAGAACCTGTTGCCTAAGAGTTTGTGAAGTCTGATGATGAGATCTTCTTCATCGGAAGAAATGTTCCCTCTTTTGATATCAGGTCTCAAATAGTTCATCCACCGAAGCCTACAGCTTTTCCCACATCTCTTAAGGCCTGCATGAAAGAAAAAGAAATGAACTTGATTTTCAGGCAATAACAGGCAAACCAATGCAGGCTTTTGTGTCCAAAAAAATTTCTATTTCTTTGGCTTAGACGATTATGAATTCATTTGCAGGAGTGTGATTGAAAATGAATAAACCCCAATTTTCCATCTCTAACCATTTACGATCAGGTCTCTCTCTCACCTGCTTCCTTGGGAATGTTCCTCCATTTTCCTTCACCATGAACCTTGATATAATCAGTGAGAATTTTGTCTTCAGAGGCGGTCCAGGCACCTCTGTTCATTCCCTCTTTAGAACAAGTGCTTCTAACCATTGCTGCTCTACTCTGTCTCCTCTCTCCTTGTGTGAGAGTTTGAGGCAATTGAAAGTTCCAATAGAATGTTCAAGTTGTTTGCTAGTGAATGTTGGACTTCACTTCACTGACTCATGTATAGATGCACCTGTTCAATTTAAAAACTTTCATGTCCAATTTTTGAATGCATAGTCAATGGGCTATGGCCAATAAAGATTTAACATACAATCTACTCTAAAACTGATGTGTTGGGATTCTGTAGCTAAAATTGGCAACACCAATAATTTTTAGAAATTAAAAACAATCCCAATGTGATTCAGTTGCATGTGCCTTTAAAAAACAAGTAACCAAGTTGTAGTCAATGATTTTACGGTTCAAAGTTCTTAAATGCATTATGATTCTCTGAAGGTGAATGAAGCAGATCACACTGTCAATTCTGTCCAGGCATTTTGTCACGCGATTGGATAATGCTTGCCTTCAATAATTTGCCTCATAATAACTAATTACTTTGCTGGCTATTTTTCTTCCCCTAGTGCAAGACTTGATCATGTTAGCAGTAATGTTTCCATCAAGTTGAAGACAGATTTTCAGCTACCATTCCCAGTTATTTTCTGCACTCCTGAACTAACTTTCCCGACCAGGTCTAGAAGCTTGAAAGTTTGTTGCTTTCTCTCTCTTTTTACGAAAAGAATTGAAATTCATGAAAGGAAAGGAATCAAGCACCAATTATTGTAATATTACCAATTACAAGTCAAGATCGATCACATCAATAGAATCATGATCACTTCAACTTGTTTATATAAGGGGAAAGTTCCAGGACTTGCACTCCTGTTTTGCACTTGGATTTAAAGAACATCAGTATACCAAAATTTTATTACAAGTTGCCAAATGCCAAATGCCAAATGCCATGCTTGGCTTGCATGTATATATGCTTCTTAAAGAAGCGGCCAATTTATTTGCAAGCGATAACTTTCCGCCTCCCAACAAACATGATAAATTTCTAGCCTCCGACCCATACTTCTCTTGCAAGCTCTTTGCCTCTTTCTTGGTTGTAGATCCTAAGCTCATCCATAATAAAGGACTAAAGCAATAAAATATATAGAATTGAATGGAGACTTTAACGATTCTGCTGCCAGAATTCGAAGAGAAATGATAGATGACAGGTCTGGAAATGACTGATTTATTAAAAGAATCCTAGTATGAACTGTCACAGTCTCAGATCAAACTTTACTTGCGGCAGCCAGTGGAAAAAAAGATTGTACGCAAGCTTGTGGTTGGTTCGGACAAAGGTTAGTTTAAAATGACACGAGATTCTATAATAGATCTCTATATACAGTAAATCTTTAATTATTCTTCAACTAAAACAACAGCTAATTAACTTTAAAGTAACATAAATGTATGCGTACCAAGAACTTGTTTAGAATTTTGTTAATTAATATTGGGTAAAGATTATAAGTATTAAATTTTAAATTTTAAATTTATTAGTTATTATTTTTTAAAGGTAATTTTACGAATTTATTAAATTTAATTTTAGGTTAACTTAATTCATAAAAAAATCCCTAATCTTAAAACCGTAAAAACTGGCTCAAATTTAATGTTAATTCATAGTTTTTAATTGTATTGAATATATCAAGATTCAAATTTGATATAAAAGTCATATAGAAATTTTATCAAAGAAAGTACTCAGAATGTTAGAACTTAATTGGAAATAAAAATGGACGGATATCCAACAAGATGTAATACTAATTTAACGACAATTATGCGGATTAATTTTTGAATACGTTGATATGATCTTGGAATTAATGTTTGAAAGTTACAAATTCGAAAAAATTTTACACATGTAATATTTTTTTAATTAGATAAATAAAAAAATAAAAAGGATAAAAAATAGATTAAAAATTTTAAAATAACTGCAATTATATAATATACACTCTTATACCGTAATATATATTGTGGAAATTTTTGTGCCCATATATATAGAGAGAGAGAGATCATGAGCTACAAGATTTATTAATTTCTTTTCACCTTTAAAAATTCCTTTGACCTACCTTTTGGCTCATTATAGTTCAGTCTTTGGTCGTTGAAAAGTTTAGAATAATTAATTCATTAATTTGATATTCCAATCATCCAATCACCATATCCTCCGCATGAAAAAACAGTTCTCTTATGTGGTCACATTGCATTTGCTCGGGCTTATCATTGGGTCAAGCCCATTCAAGAACGGCCCAGAACCAGGTAATCGAGTGAATAACCATATTAAAAAAAAAAAAAAAAAAACCTTTAACGCTTCGTTTGATAAGAAAGAAAGGGTTGAGAAAAAAAAAAAATCTAATCTAATGGTTAAGATACATAACATCATGTTTATGAATTATGAGAGTTAACCATTTTTTTTAATTATTTGGTATACTGATAATGTAATTTTTTAATTTAATAAACGGGGTTAAATTATAATACATATTTTATTTTTTAAAATATATAAAAGGTACGTGTTCTCATCTTAATTTCGTTTATGAAATTAAAATATTTTACTGCCAGCTTATTTGGTAATTTTGTTGTTGTTTGTTTTAATTTGAATTGGTTTATGAATTATTAGAGTTGTTGGAGTAAGATCTTATTATTCAGGACTTCAGGCTTGAATATGCCATGATTCTAACATAGCTTTCAGTCTAAACCCGCATTTAACAAAAGTAATTTTTTTTATTACAATAAAAAAACTTATCTTTTCTGCATTATGATCATTATTTAATAGAAAAAAACAATGTACATATAATACTTGGCCATCATATATAATATTTATTTATATAGATTAAGAGTTTGGTAAGTTGACTAAAATCAAAACGTGATTAGAGAAGATAGTATCTTACAAATTTCAGAAAATAGACTGTTTTTTTTTTGAAGGATTGAAAGTTAGATGAGACCTAACTTTAACAAGCTTAGCCAAAAAAAGAATTAGAAGACCTCCTTAAGGCTTGAAAACAACCCATAGCTGCCCCTCTTGAATAGACAGGCCCTTTGTTTATTTCATTCTCCACATTTTCATACTTACAATTGCGTGTTTGCTTTGAAAAAAAAAAAACCAATTATTTGTTCTAGAATATTGTTGCTTGCTAGTGATAATCATGTATTCTCGAACTTGTTTACTTACTGGTTTTTAAAGGAGATGATGGCAAAAAACTGCCATCTAACGGTCTTACAAAGACCTGACGATCGTATATTTATGTTATATCTATTTTGTATAAAATATAAAAAATTTTGTATCAAATTTATATTAATATATTAATATTATTATATTATATTATATTAAATTTTTTTTTTGGTTAAATCCTAGAATCGTGATACTTAACTTTTACCTACCAACCGGTGAAATTGGAGATCTAATGTGGATTTTTCATTAGTTGCGGGATCAGTCACCATCTTTCTGATTCACATTATACATTGGCTAAATGCCTGGCAAATGAAATTACTCGCAAGCAGACAATTTTTTATAAGTAGATTAATGAAGGGATTTCATTTGGACAACAGAACGAAAAATTTTTTCATTTTCCACAGTAAATTCTCCAGAAAAGCATTAAAAGGAATGTACGTCTTGCAATACATATCGTCCCTCCGTCAACAGGAGAGTCGAGTGGTTCCTTTCCATGTTTCAGTGCTATGATTGACTGCCATCGTTCCAACTTTTCCTTTATAAACGTACTTCACATTCTTAATTTCAGCTTTTGGTACAGACACGTTTCAGACGAAGATGTGCTCCTCGACTTCAAGCACTGGAATCCCCCGCATGTGATTTTGAGTCTGGCAATCCTGGGATCTTGGAGAGCTACCAGGTCATAAATCTTATTCTTTATTCAAATTTGGTGACGTGTTTTCTCTGTTCCAGTATTGGTTTCGATCAGAATTAAGAGAAGGGCTTTCTATTTTTTAAGCAAAAATGAGATTACATTCATTAGATATTCATTAGATGAAGAATATAATTAAGCAGAAGTGATACAAAGGTCTAATCGAGGGCCTAAAAAGCAGAGAAATAAACAGCGGAAAGCAATAAACTTTATTGACGTCATTAGTTGATACGACAAAAATTCTGAATCTGTCCTTTGTCCGTCAATAAATATTTGTGTAAAAAAACAAATTGCTGTTAAATATCAAAACCCATTCCATCAAGATGCTTGACAGAGAAAAAACATATCAAAGTGGTCCAAGCAAACAAAAAAACCAAAATCAAAATCAAAACCAAAACCAAATTAGAGGAGGCCAATGCAATGCCTTGTCTTTCCAGAAAGGTGACGAAATCAAACCTTTTACGAGCTCGAATCAACTAAATTCCTTTATACATTTTTTTATACTAAAATGATTTAGCTGGGTCGTTTCTATGATGGTTAGGTAAGCATATGGATGCACAAAGTCAGGGAGAAATCAGCGGAGGAAAGATCTTAGAACTATTATTCTTTAAAATTATCATCAAAATTTTTAATTTTAGTAATCAGAATTTAATCATGATAATTTGAAGTATTAAAAAAAAAAAAAAACTGTTAGACCCTTAGAAACCTTTGTTGTATATCTATGTCTGAGATAAGCAAAAATCATAAATATTGGAGGCCACTGGCAAGAAATTTGCAGTTAATAACCCTGTTTGAAGCTAAAAGGCAAATATACCCTGTTTGATGCAAAGGAAAACATATCTTTCTTTCTTTTTAACAGAAAATTGTTTCTGTTTCTTGGGCTAGAAATCAACTGTAATAAAACAAAGAGATTGAGAGATTGAGGTTGCTTAAGTTTCTCCGATGCAAACTGCTTGTAAAGTCAACTAAACTGACAAATCATTTGTGTCTAAATAAATGAGACTTGATCTTACAATAATCATATACGAATTAAGAAGGAAAAAAGAATAGATTTTCCAGGATCACGTGAATCATCTGCTGTCAGTCACAGCCAAACACATCATAACCCCAAACTTAGCGTTTATTTAACTTTCCCCAAGTTGAAAAGGTATACACCAATCATGGTCTGGTACTTAAATTTTAATTGCTCAATTATTATTTCTTGATATTATATATTTTTCTTTCAACAAAAACAATATCAGAAAAGTATTTTAAATTCTTTTTTTTTTCAATCGAAAAAATCTTTTCCTTCCAACGTTGCCAGCTTAATGTTTGATTGATTAATTGAATCCTAATACTTGTTAGTAGCAATAAGGAATCTTCAAAACATACTTAAGCCAATAATAATCTTCTTCAACTCAAAAATGGGTGTTCGAGCCAAAAAGTTATTGGAAGTCATATATTTAACTTTTACCAAACATTGCTTGCTTTGAATGGAAAAATAGCAAACAGTTTCTTGTTAGACTTTGGTATTTGCTTTCTTAAAGCCTAACCAAAAGCAAAATCTAATTTGGACAACAGTCACTTTTCCTACTACAGCGATCTTGTTTTTTCTGACTTGATGGGGCTATAAAAGGGCCATAAGTATTAAGTGCTCTACATTTCGTATTTTTAGAAAGAGGGAGACAGTGAAAAAGAGAGAGAGAGAGAAAGAAAGGGAAGGAGACAAAGATTGAAAGGGAGATGGGGAGGAGTCCTTGTTGCTCCAAAGAAGGACTCAACAGAGGAGCCTGGACTGCATTGGAAGATAAAATACTTTCAGCATATATTAAGGCTCACGGGGAAGGCAAATGGAGAAACCTACCCAAGAGAGCTGGTATTTTTATTTTTATTTTAATTTTAATTACTTTCAAACTTTGCTTATCTTCTTTTAAGTAGCATATTTTCCCCTGCTTCCTCCCTGTTTTTTTTTTTTTTTTTTTCTCTTTTTACATTGACCCTTCAAGAAGACTGAAAGTAAGATTATAAGAGCTCAAAATGGATCAAAATTGAGTTGCAACTTATGGTACCACATGCAGGTTTGAAGAGATGTGGCAAGAGTTGTAGACTTAGATGGTTAAATTATCTAAGACCAGATATAAAAAGAGGCAACATATCCCATGATGAAGAGGAGCTCATAATCAGACTCCATAATCTTCTTGGCAACAGGTTGCTAACCCTTTTCCAATTTCATGTTTGTCTGCTTGATTGTTACTTTTATTGTTGGTAATCAGCCTGCTTCCTTGGTGCTCCGCAGATGGTCTTTAATAGCTGGAAGGCTACCTGGGCGAACAGACAATGAAATCAAAAACTACTGGAACACTACTTTGGGAAAGAGAGCCAAAGCTAATGTATCCTCACCAACATCCCCAGAAGCGCCATCAAGCAAATCTAGACATAAAAGGCTTACAAATGAGTCGCAGGTCAGCGAACCCTCAAATTCACCACAGGCTACAGAAACCAAAATCCAAGTGATCCGGACTAAAGCCACTAGGTGCTGCAGCAAAGTCCTTGTTCCATTACAGCCACCACCAACTCAAGATATTGATATTAACAAGTTAACACTTCAGGACCCTTCCGAGCTTCAAGATTATCTACCTTACTTAACAAATCATCAAGAAATGGATAATACTGCTAGAGTTCAAAGTCACCATGGAACTGAAGTGCTTGATGCGTTGTACAGTCATGGTCAGGATTTCTTGAACTTTGGAGTCGATGATGATCAGCTGCAACCAAGAAATGGAGAATTTGAGGAGAATAATGACATCAACAAGAATCTATTCGAGGATCCTGTGCAACCCCTGCCGTTTGATGAAGCAATGTTCAAGGATTCCACCATGGATTTAGACTCCTTGGCATTTTTACTTGACTCTGACGAATGGCTTTGATAGGGAAATCACTGCTCCAGCGTTCATTTAAAAAAAAAAGAAAGAACATATGTATAAAATAATCAGTGCCTGTATCTTTTCTCTCATAAATACTGCTACTTTTGCTGGTTGCAAATTTACAACGCTGGGAGTTGAAAACAACTCATCAACGACTGTGTTTAATGCTAACCTTTTTATATGATAAATCTGTAATTTCATTCATCTAAGCTAGCAGTGATATGCTACAGGAAACAATTCACAAATTTACAAGTAATCAAAGAATAATATTCTACTTCCAATCTATTCAAGATAGCAGCCTATTCTGATATAGTAGCATTAAGGCTCCATGTATCACAAAGGTCTTCGTTAATAACATCCTTAGCAATTCTATTAAGCCCATGCAACTAATTCTATTTAAAGGTATAAATGATATATTAATATTTGTAAGTTATTCAAATTCAATTTAGTTATTATTGAGTCAAATTCGAGTAACTCAACTTATCAAGTAAGTCGAATATGAGTATCCTAATATTTAACTTGAGTAACTTAAAAACTTAATTAGGCTTTTAAATTTTATATATTTTTATTATTTTAATTAAAAAATTATTATTTTACCCCTATATATATCAAATTAAGCTCGATCTCAAGTTCATATACATAATCAAGTTTGAAATTGAATATGAAAATCGAGTTTATTTTTATTAAATAAATTTAATTGAGTAAATTTGAATAACTCAATTTTTATCTCAAATTAAATTTAAAAATTAAATTTTGATTAAATTCAAGCTTAGTTTCAATAAATAAATTTTGAGTCGAGAGCTTGAACTTCTCATTATATCCTCTCTATTTGACTTAATTATATCCTTAATTCTAATAACATATTTGATTCAATCTATTACCTGCGCCGAAGTCTTTTCCATTTGCTTAAGCAGTCGACTATTCCTTCCTGTCCATATCATATATACAATTACGCATTACATGCTAAACGTAGTACGATAAAAATCAATGCTCTACCCTTCAGCATCTTTGCCCAACTTAATTTTGTAACACAATTCCCTTCTCCCCTGTTGATACCACATAGTTGAAAAACCTTCTGCTAAACTTCTTTGGCAATGTCACGTCAAAGAAAACATGATCTCTGAGCTCTTCTACAAATTGACACGTTAGCTTTTTCTTTCAACCTCTGTTCCCCAAGCTCTCAGTCTATTTCCTTTGCGAAGCGTGTTATGTATTGCCATTTAAGCTACCGACATGTGTTTTGGAATATTATATTTGAATCATATAAATTTATAATTTTTAATATTATAATATATATTTGAAAATTTATTGTTAGATATAAATTAAAAAAATTATCATCAATTTTTTTTTGTTAAAGTGTGATTGATCACTTAATCAAATTTATATTATTTAAAAAAGAGTTTCAAAATTGATTTAAATATCTTTAAATAATAGATTTTAGTCTACGAAATTAAATTTCAGATTCAAAAGTATGGTTACACATAAGAAAATTTATAACACCTTTACAACATCTAATCCAAAAAATGATACTAATTTAATTTCAAATTATCTAAACATTAACTATATTTACAATTTACCAAAATATTTAATATTAAAAACTAATCTTTAAATTATTTCAATAGTTTAGTAGCAATTTTAAAGTAATTATCTCATCTCAAAAATATTCATAGAGATTAGTGTCCCACCCTGAATAGACTCTGTCGTTAGATTCATTTAAATTTTAGTTTAAAAAAATCAATAAAATCTTTCAATAGTTTGTTAAGATTTACTTTGATACAGATCTTTCAATAGTTTAGTGAGATTTTATTATAAGATTATTTTTTAAAAAATGCATTAAATCTTTCAATAATTTAGTAAGATTTAATTTAAGCTGTAAATTCTCCAATAGTTTGATAGGATCAAAATAAAATATTTTATTGATAATAATTGTTATTTTTTATAAAAATTTGATTTATGAAATTCTCTAATAATTTGATAAAATTTATAAAAATTTAAATTCATGAAGAATCCTTCAATAGTTTGGTAAGATTCATGAATTTATTTTAGAAACATTTTTTGGTTATTTTTAATAAATAAATAAATAAAATGAAAATCATAAAAGCATTTCAAAAAATAAGTAAAATAATAATAATAATAATAATAATAATAATAATAATTAAAAAAAAAGAAAATCTAAAAAAAATAAAGACAAAAAAAAAAAAAAATGAAAACCTATGATAAGGTCAAGCTTGAAAAGCGGATCTTTACTTGGATCGTTGGTTCCATGTAAAAACTTTAAACTTTAATCGAAAAGTTTATCCTAAACCTAAAAAAATTCTAAAACAGTGTTTAAATTTTTGAGAACCCAACAGAAATCCTAAAATAAAAAACTAACAGAAAACCCTAACACAAATCTCAAAAACTCAATAAAATATGAAATCAAACAAAAAAAAGTAAAATCTAAATTCAAAAAACCTAAAAGAAAATCAAATCAAACTCAAAATGAAATAAAGTCACAAAACCCAAAGAAAAAAATTCCAAAATTTACTAGAATGATTCCTTCCCAAAATAAAAAAACTAAGATCCATAGAATTTTATTTTTTTATCCCACAAAAACTTTTTAAAACCTGGAAAAACTTTTTTAACAGCTTTAATTCATTACCTTCCCTTTGTGTATGTGCTTGAATACCATTTTATAAGGATTTAATCCCTTTTTATTTTAGCAAGTAAATCAAATTTAGGATTGTGATTGCATGTGATTTGATTTGATTATGATTTTATTGTAATTTTATAATCTGTGATTTGATTTTGAGTTTCTCTTTTTATAAGATTTGCATTAATCAAGCCAAAATAACTTATTTTCTAATTTATCTCTTTTTTTAAATTTTTTTTTAAAACAAGTAAAATCAAATCAAATTAAAATTGAAAATTTTCTTATTGGGCCCGAAGCTTTGTTTTTTGTCCCAAAAAAATCATAAACCAAATGAGGTGTCTACAGTTGTCCTTCTTTACATAATTTCTGTGAAACAGAAATTGCACAAAGATAAAAGATATCCATTTTATTCAGGTTTGAAAAATCAAATCAAAATTCAAAGTTAAAATGATTCGAATGAAATCAAATTAGAATATGAAAATGACTTAACTAAATCAAAGTCGAAAGTGAACGAAGTGTGCCAAAATAAAGATGATCAAAATTGAGTCATGCGTCAAAAAATTAAAATGATTTAGATCAAGCTGAGATAAAAAATGAATGACTGCAATCGAACTGCGAGTCAAAAAAATAACATGATTTGGACTAAGCCAAGATTGAAAATATCAAACTACGAGTTAAAAAAATAACATGATCTAGACTAAGGTGAGATCGAAAATGAACGATCAGGATTGAACCGCGAGTTTGAAAAATAAAATAATCTGGATTGAACCTAGATCAAAACAAGTGATTGAAATTGAACCGTGGGTCTGAAAGATAAAATGATTTAGATCAAGTCGAGATCGAAAACGAGTGATCGAGATTGAATTGTGAGTAAAAAAAATAACATGATCTGGACTAAGCTGAGATAAAAAATGAGAGACTAGGATTGAACGTAAGTTTGAAAAACAAAATGATCTAGACCGAGCCGAGATCAAAAGTAAGCAATCAAAATTGAACCGCAGGTCTGAAAAATAAAATGATCTGGACTGAACTAATATCAAAACGAATGACCAAGATTGAACCATATGTTTGAAAAAAATGATCTAGATTGAGTCGAAATTGAAAGTGAGCAACCGGGATTGAACCGTAGGTTTGAAAAATAAAATGATTTGGATTGAGTTAAAATCGAAACGAGAGATCAGGATTGAACCACGAGTCTAAAAAATAAAATGATCTTCATTGAATGGAGATTGAAATGAGTGACTGGGATTGAAAAGCATGTCTAAAAATAAAAATGATTTAGACCGTGTCGAGATTGAAGATGAGTGACCAGGATTGAATCGTGGTCTAAAAAATAAAATTCAAAAATTTTTTTAACCTAAAATCCAAATATTCATAATTTGAGATTTCAAATATTTGTAAGATTTCATAACATAAGTTGAAAGATCCCAATACTTTAAATTTTGTAAAAAATTTGTAAATATTTCAAAATTCACAAAAAGTCAAGATTTACAAATGTTTGCAAGAATTTCATGTTTCGTAAGAATTCTATTTCATAAGAACTTTCAAGTTTGTAAGGATTTTCAAATTGTATTTAAAGATTTTCATTCAAAATATTTAAAGTTTAAGATAAATAAATTTATAGATTCATATCAAAATTTTCGAAACTTACCTTCAGAATTTAATGATTCTCATTTGAAAAATTTTGGGATTCATATTAAAAAAAGCTCATTTAGACTAAGGCTCTAAAACTTTAAAAGTTTAGAAACTTTTTCTTGTCCAAATATGAAAGATCTTTCTTATTCGAGAAATCAAAAGTCAAATATTTTCTCCTAACAAAAACAAATGTCATGCAAATAATGCAAATGCCTTCAAAATGCAATAATCCAAATTCTCACTAAATGATGCAAATGCAAATGTCATATAATGATTCAAATGTGCTCTATATGCATGCCCCAATCATGATACAAATACGATTATCATATATTTAACATAATGCATGTAATACAGATGTTACTAAATCAATATCGTGAAATTACAATTATGATAATAAAGTTTTCAAGACTCCACTAGCTTATATATTCTTTCTCAACTTTTCAACATTAACGATCTCAAAACACATTCCATCTTTTGATCCATGTTATTTTTTTCATCTAATCTCAACTCACAGGTTATGTTAACCAACCTTTTATTGTATTCATCACTAAGTCACGTCATTTGTCCTTTTCAAATCACCTCCTCAGGCTTCTTTCATTTTTTTCATTTTAGATATTTTTCAAAATAATGAAAAATCTTTATGAACATTGTTATTCATTTATTTATCGTCATTCTAATTCATGACAAATATGATACATTTTCTTGATTCATTCAGGAGATGTACATTTGGTAAGAATAAGAAAAAAAATTCTTTATTATTGAAAAGAAATATGGTCAATAACAAATCATAGGTGAACAAAAAGAAAATGTTATGACTGTTCAAGTAGGATATCAACATTCAAAATAATGATTGTTCA